CACACACACACACACACACACACACACACACAAACACACACACACACACACACACACACTTCTATACGGGCTGAGCAAAACGACTACGACCTCATGTCGTTGCAGTTCAAGAGGACAGAAAAGGGAACACTTCAGAAAATAATTTAAGACTTCAAGTTGCTTACCCGCATTGATCTGCCTTTGACGCATCTTTGAGGTCGAAGATTATGCTTGTGTTTCCAATGACGTCTCTGGTCCGATTCTCAACTTCTCTTCTTGTGCATACGGTGACGTTGCCAAAGGGCTGGACACCATCTTCACAGGACATCGAAAGTAGACAATTACAGAATTTACAACATCAAAAATACCGTTCATTGTGGCTACACATTCGGTTCATTTTGTTTTGGTTTGGTTTGAAAGAGGTTTTACGGCATTTGCAACAGTTCATGTCATAATAAAAATTACTTATTTCTTAAGTACTAAAGATCAGACTTGCAAAAGAGTAACAGAGTTAGAAAGGATGGGGTAGCAAGGGGTGACAATATATAGTAGTAGAAGAAGCAGACCTCACAATAGCACCAACCAACAGGGTCTGCTGATAATATGTAGATAAACAAAGAGCGATGTGACTTGATGAGAGGGCAGTTTTATCGATGATCAAACAAGGAATATAATAATATCGAAAATTCTTCATTCAAATCAAATGGATAGAATCAATATCGTGCAGCGGACTGTGGTATCATCATCATCATCATCATCATCATCATCATCATCATCATAATCATCATCATCTGTTCACTAACGCCGTAATAACTCCTTTCGATAGTTAGTCGACTGCCCCGCACAGATCTCCGTCATATACAGCTAATCATTGTCAGCATGTCGCGTTCCAATGCCAATGTTGACACGTAATTTCAGAGGACCTGAGTTCGATTCTTTGGCCAACTGCTTTGTTTGGTAATCATTAGTTTAGGTTCAAACTTCTAAAAGTTTTTTTTTATCGTTTGGACTGCAGATATCTAGGAATGAAGCAATCAGGAGAGATGTAATTGAAGAGTTGTCTCGAAATGTTAGCCTGGTAATTATTTGCAAAATAAACTGCATAAATTAATAATCTTGGCAAAATAATACTTTAAATCTCCGCAGTTCATTGTGCCCATATAAAAAAGAAATAATTCAAAAAGCCATATGAAGCAAGATTTCCAACCTCCTGGCTGTCAACATAAAATAGCCATAAAAAGTAAGGCTATTGCCGTTGTTAAGCTAACTTTAATTAAACAAATTAAATAGCATTGTTAATTTTATCTCCCCTTACTTTCCCCTTGCTTTAGATGACCAAGCGGTCAGGAAGGAGTAAGAAAATCAAAACGAGAAAAGGTAGTGAAAAGGACTGTGGAAAAGGGAAGAAACAGAGAGCTTGAGAGAAAGAGGGGAGAGAGAGAGA